CGTAATTTATTTATTTATTTATTTATTTATTTATTTATTTATTTATTTATTTATTTATTTATTTATTTATTTATTTATTTATTTATTTATTTATTTATTTATTTATTTATTTATTTATTTATTTATTTATTTATTTATATCATCTTATAAACACCTGGGTAGCCTCTACAGCATAAGATTGCTGATTTTCAAGAGGGCCCAGGGTCACAAATAAATATAACATAACATAAAGCAAATTGTATAAAAGTAAATTATACAATCAAGTAACAAAAGTTAACAGAAATCAGTATAACTGAAAATCAGTATAACTGAAAAGTTAACATATATAAACATATAAACAACTGAACAAAAATATACAAATCATTGAATCAGTGGAGGTCAACGAATGAATGAAAGACCTTTATTTAACATTTTTGCTCATTGCGAACTAAGTACAGGTCATGGTAAACAGCGATGGTAGACTAAAATATATCTATAGTAAAACTACATATGTACAGGTTCTGCTTCTTCTCGCTTCTTAAAACAGTTGTAAATGTAAGAACAGATGGAGCTTGCAGTACGAGGATTGTCGAGTTTCATGAGGAAAGTGAATTTTTCTTTTCTATCTAAAAATCTGAAACTAGGGAAATAATCTTCTATACATTTGAAGAGAATCTTTCTCTCATTATTATATAGAGTACAGTCCACAATAAAATGGCTCTCGTCTTTAATCCCATTTAGGTTACAGTATAATGACAAATTATTATTAGTTTATGATGATAATGACAAATTCTTTGTTACAGAGGAATGTGGTTGTGAAACCACCCGAACCGCGATTCGGGTAACTCGCATTCCTCACATCTGGTCCACGTGCCATACATTCCTTTCAAACCGTGTCCGATCACGATTCTCCGAATCTACATTAATTGTTGTTTGATGAAGACACGCAAGGTAGCGTGTTATTGATGTCAGAGGTCAACGACCTGCTTGCTGGTGCCCCCCTCCCAGCGTACCTCCGTCGAATGCCGACGTGGTCCCGTCATTCATTCATTCATTCATTCATTCATTCATTCATTCTTGTTTTATTTATCTCTTCCTCCCACAGTTCTTCATCTGCAGTGTTCTCGGTCTGATCTGTGCGAAGAAGACTACTGCGTGGGCGGTGAGCATCTGTTTCATCACATCTAACGCGCTTATACAAACGATAAGTCGAATGGAAGGTGATAAAGGTTATTGTAGCTGCTATACTTCTTGGGTTGAATTATTCATGTGTTACTTAGCTTCTTCATTAGCTTATTTTGCTATACTTTTGTTTTAATTGTATGATGGTTACTTACGTACGATTTGTTGATATTTTCTCTTCATTTGCCTTGATTTTCATTCAAGTATTTCAGTTAATCAGTTTAAATGTGATTGTTTTGTTATGTTTAGGGAGAAGGGCTTGTACAAGCCTTTAAGGCTTCATCTTCTCCTGCACAGTGTTTTTAATTTAATTTACTTCATCTTGTTTTTTTGTGCGAAATAAATAAATTAATAAAACATAGTGACGTGTGATTTATATGATTGTAGAGATGAAATTCTGAATTACCACAGCGACAATGATAGAAAAAAAAAACGTTTGGTGAAGGAAATTACTGCCGGCCTTTTTCACTTACATCATATGTCGTACTACCATATAGATGACTTTGATTCAGTTTGGAAGCATATTTCAGTGAAAAAACGTATGAAATAGGATGTGAGTGTATTTCAGCGACATTTGTAATGTGTCAAAAACCACATAAAAATGATAAGATTTTCTTGCTGACGCTTGTATTTGAAGTATAGTTCTTTTTACCTCAAATCATGCAACCACAGCGAGAAGGGTAGGAAAAAAATGCTTGCTGAAGGAAATTGCTACCGGCCATTTTTTCCCACACAGTATCTGTCCTTGGTGCTGAAAATGTTGTTTTGCCGAGCAGACCGTCAGAGTACTACATGTGTAGTAGTCAGCAGCGGTATTCATGATAAAAGAAAAATAAACGCAGCATCAAAGTTGTCGTACTACCATATAGATGACTTTGATTCAGTTTGAAAGTGTATTTCATCGATTGTTACGTATGAAATAGGATGTGAGTGTATTTCAGCGACATTTGTAATAAGTCGAAAACCACATAAAAATGATTAGATTTTCTCCCTGGCGTTTGTATGTGAAGTATAGTTCTGTTTACCTCAAATCATGCAACCACAGCGAGAAGGGTAGGAAAAAAACGCTTAGTGAAGGAAGTTGCCACCGGCCATTATCTCTACACAGTATCTGTCCTTAGTGCTGATAATGTTGTTTTGCTGACCAGACCGTCAGAGAACTACATGCGTAGTAGTCATCAACGGCATTCATGATAAAAGAAAAATAAACGTAACATCATATGTCGCACTACCATATAGATAACTTTGATTTAGTTACTTTAAAAACGTATGAAATAGGATGTGTGAGTGTATTTCAGTGACATTTGTAATGTGTCAAAAACCACATAGAAATGCTTTGATTTTCTCCCTGACGCTTGTGTTTGAAGTGTAGTTCTGTTTGCCTCAACTCATACAAGCAGTACATGTTATTTGCATTTCCATTTTTCCATTATATGTGCCTGCCTTCCCGAAAATGGATGCATGTTTGATTAATTGCAATTTTTTGTCGTTGGAACCAACAGATTCTGTGCTTCATAGTGGCGTGCATCATATCTCTGGTCTTCAGCATCGTGACTATCCAACTTCTAAGAGTGATAGCCTCTGGAAAGAGTGGCGGTCCCCAGCAGGACAACATTTCCCTGCCCGGACAGCCCACCGCCGTGCCGAACTCCGGACAAGGCCCGGAGAAGAGCGTCGCTCTCGCCCGCGGAGCCACGGCTGTAGCCGGTGTGGGCTGTGCCACCACCATCATACTGACTTTCCTCGCCTGTCGAGTCGCAAGAGAAGAGAAGAGGAGGTTGTTCATGATGAGAGAAGGAACCCTGGCGCCAGGCTCGTCACATCAAGTCAACGAACTCACTTGAAACACGACTGGGTACTCCTTCTGGAGCCGCCATTTTGTATATTCTGACCTTTGACCTTCTTCTTCGTGTGTAAACACGAAAGACGAACGCAAGGCCTGCTGGGAAGATAATGATGGAATAATTTAGATTAAACTAACAAGATTTGTTAGTTAGCTAGATTGGGCGGATAGAAGAAAAGAGGAAGGGGTTTTACGAAATAAAATTTCTTCGCTCTCCCAACTGGAGGTAGGTCAATACAAAAATTGGGCCGGGAGGACTCAAATGATGTACAACTAGAACCAAGGACGCTGTAGAACGTTCTTGCTAGAACAACGAACATTCTGAGGTGAAAAATTGCTCTGAAGTGTTGAAATAACAATTCCTGTAGCACTTCTCTGTCCTTGAAAACGTCGTATCCTGTGCTCAAGAAAGAAAAAAATGAGTTCTTCTTGCGTACTTGAGGTAGTGAGGAGGTGGAGAATCAATGTGTAAGATGACGCACAACTTTGCTGAACTGCCGGCCGGAGAGCTCTTCACACCACTTGGAAGCACACGTGTTCCTACTGGAGTGGTTCAGAAACGGTCGTTAGAGGCAGCAGAAACAATTCCAGGGCGGTGAAACTTTCAAATTTTCTAGTCATTTTTCAAAATGTACTACTAGTATTAAGGTTGAATCGACACAATCCCATAGCTGTGCATATCTGTGAGGCAAAAATGCGATGTCGGACTGACGTAAAACGGTTGTTTCGCATTGTGGGATGGTTCTAGCTACATGTATATTTATTGGTGGTACCAAAAAATGAAGGGACTCCTCACATAGATTATATTTTGGGGGCAATATTTGAAGCGCATGAAGTATGAAATAATGAAGAAAATTTGCTAAAAATGGCAAGAATTGTCAATATTAATGCATCGGATTTCCTCATACAGATTTTTTTTGGTTTTGCCGCCCTGAAATTGCATGGGTTGCCCTTAAAGGGGGGGGGGGGATAGAAAATTGAATTATTGGTGAAAAGATGGGCCCTGGTGGCCGATGCGACGTATAATCAGCAAAGTCAATCGTAAAGTTAACTTTGTTAATTGTTTCGAAAAACTTCATTAGTGAAAGTACATATATAACAAGTAAAACTTTTAGGCGTCTTTCCTTCTCAATGTTAACATTTTGTTTCGACAATCGGTAGAGTCAGCTCATCAGCTCAGTGACTCAATGTTGTATGTTTTTTTTTTAAATTAGGCCACAGCAAGTAATTTTTATGGATGACATCAGCGCGCGAATTAATTTTTGCCTGATTTTGGAAAAAAAACAATAATTTTTTTTTGCCTTTTGACAGTGGTCAACATGCCGAAAATGTTCAAAGATGTCTTTCGCCCGCTCGCATTAGATTTGGAGTCTGCGGAGGATGTCATCCATAAGATTTACTTGCTGTGGCCTTAGGATAGAATTCTACGTTCGAGTTGGTAAGAACGTATGTGTGTATGTATATAAGTAATACCGGTATCAGAAGTTGCTGAGTACATTTTTTTCAACGCTACGTATACGGTATGACTTTTGGGTGATACGGTCAAGGGGCCTTTACAGATCTTACCATATTGTGTACATAACAAAGACGCTACTATTAGTATTTTCTGTAGCGATATATATGTATATATGGAGATAGAACGAAAGAAAGAGAGATAAAGTAGAGGCAGAGAGAGAAAGAGAGAATCCATTCCATCGAAAGAAAGGACTTGGATTCTAACAATCGCAATTTCCATAAACTGGAGCGTCCAGAAGCTAAGTGCCATTGTTTACATTACATTGCATCATCCATCGTACTTCCGGGTAGGGTATTATGAAATCTTGAAGCATATGCTACAAGGGTGAAATAGTAATGTTTGTTGTTGTTTTTTATCTTAGGAAGACTTGTCTGCCAGAAAATAGAACGTTTAAAATAGTATTTTTCGCGATATATAGTTCTTGCCAGGATATCGAACAAAAGGTAGAGGACTACTAGTATCACAACAATGTAACGCTACAGTAGTATTGACAGTGCAGTGTTGATGTATATGTTTCCATTGACATCATTATTCTTGTACATCGCTGTTATACAGTACACATGTCTTGATGACACAAGTTGGATTGATTGATCTCAAGTCGCCTTGTAATAAAACGAATAGAGCAACAACCTTCCATTCATGTCTATCCTGCTTATATTTTAAGCCCCTGTCAAATATTGACTTTCTATGCGAATCGAATCAAATGTGAGTTAAATTTGAGTCAAATTTGACTGCTAACCACGGCACGAACAATGCTCATCTATACCCAAACACCAGCCAAACACCGGCCAACCATGGCCGAATCTCCCGTCCGCATGTTTTAACATTAGGCCACAGCAAGGAATTTTTATATATGACATCAGCGTGCATGCGCATTCATTTTTGTCTGATTTTGAAGAAAAAAAATTGTTGCCTTCTGACAGTGGTCAACATATCGAAATGGGCAAATGTTGCCATGCCGGAAGGTGGATGGCAGATAACTATGAAGAGAGGAGACAAGACAAGGCTCTGATTTATTGTTTAGTTTCTTACTTTGATGCAGTGATACATGTATGTGATGGTGGCTGCGTATATGTGATGTTCCCACTGAATCAAAACCATTTGTACAATGATTGAGTCAAAATTTGAAATTGTAGGAAACTTGTTTTTTTTTCGGCTTGTCTTTTTCGCCCGCTCGCATTAGATTTGGAGTCTGCGGAGTATTTCATCCATAAAATTTAATTGCGGTGGCCTTATTTTCGTGAGACCATAGCCGGCTTTTATCTCCAAGCAGATCCCTCTCGGTGGCAAAAAGATAGTATCAAATTGGCCAGGCAGTATCCATTAGCCAGAGAAGCTCCGTGGGGGTCAGGACAAAAAAAATGGCCATATATAAAAATGTATCGATCATTTCCACCACAA